CAGTAGGAACCCATCGTGTCACGGCCAGCCGGCGTTTGCCCACTCACAGCTCAGGCTTAGCTCTGTGCTCGGCTCGATGTCTTTGTACGCTACCACCTCCAACTCCAGGGTGCTCCTCCTGTATCGGACAAAGGCGCTATATCTAGGCGTCAGTATGCTTGGGTGCAAGGAGGGAGACGCAAAGGGTTGCCCTCACTTTGGCCTGCACGCGTGGTTTATCCTCTATTGGGTCCATACAAAAAAAGTCAGCTCGAAATCCCCTCGGTGAAGTCTAAGCAGAATGGGTCCATTTACAGCGATCCGAGGGTACAAGCCTGAGTGTGGTATGCCGTTAAGCGTGATACTGAAGGTGTTGGCAGCCATGATGCCTTCCACGATATGTTCTTTATTGTGGTATGACAGACCCTTGACAGCAGCTCTGTCGGCAGGCGACAGGCGTGCGAGCGCTCGATCGAGCATCGCCCGGTGCTGCTGAGTATTGACATATGCCGGCCAGGTCATCATGTCGACGAGGACCGGCCGCTCCCGGAAAAGCAACTCGCCCGCAAGGATGCTCGCGTTGGCCACCACGCCCTTCCCCTTCCCAGCGATGGACTGCACCTCGTACGGCGGCGGAAACCGAGGCTCCTGCACATCCGCGTCTCCGCGCTCTCGCCCTCCTGCAGCCCCTGGCACCGCGCCTGAGGACGAAGGAAGTCCCCAGACCGGATAGAGCCCGTCGACCAACGGCGCTGTAGCTGCCGCGAGATCCGGTGTCGTCAGGATGGAGATGCCTGAGCCAGAACCTGCCAGCGAGGAGTGCGTGTAGATGCAGTAGGGTATTTGCCCGTGTGGCCTTGGTCTCGAGCAGAAGGGAGGCCGCGTCCAGGGCTCCCATTTTCCCCTGTGGGCAGATGTCGCTTCGTCAACTACTGCAGGGCAGTTGCCGAAGATGGAGGGATTGCCTCCGGTCGGAGCGCCCGGGGACAGCGGGCCAGCAGGGAGCCAGAGGCATTGTCGAGGTGTCGTGTCTGCTGCTGCAGTGACATGCTGCCAGGCTTGAAGCACGCAGATGAAGAAAGTCTGGTGTTTGGAGGCCCCGGGCATTCTCGCAAGCCGAAAGGTGCAGACACACTGCTCCTTGTCGCGTTTGACGGGTCGGAGCGAGAAGCTTGGCCATTGCTGGCCAGCCCATCGTAGATCCGGTCTTTGGGAAGCATCATTGCGGCTCCGAGTAATCCTTAGCCGCGTGGATATAGCCGTATCTGGGCCGGGATGTCGCTCTATTAGCCTGATATGCAGTTTAAGACGAACAGTGCTTGTAGGTGAAGAACGTTAGATTAAGGAAGCATCGAACAGCGTGACAGGTTGGATAAAGATTGGCCCGACAGCAGTGCACAAGGCACTCAGGTGGAGGGACTCAATGGCGCCATAGTCTGGGTAACAAAAAGGAGTACGCACGAACTGCACGAGTGTAGAATGCTGCACATCGCGGACTCCGCAGCTGGCTGGTCAAATTTGGCAGCTTGCGTCAGCTGCCCTACAGGAGATTTCACCAGGACTGTTCCTGCCAAGGTCGCGCCTGCCGGGGGCGGGCGGTGTCTCCCACGCAAATGACATGGATGCAACGGTAGCTTCCGGCAACAACAAGCAGGGAAGAGATTTTAGACAGCGGGCTGGTCAGGTCTCGAAGGGTGAGCACAATGAGGCTATTTTGACTTTGGCAGGGATTTACCGACATTGAAAGATTTCCACCTATCCATCACTTTCCCTTACTAAGACCCAATGTCTTTCTTGAACTAGGTTTACTGGCCATGTCGTAGGACAGCGTATGGCCCTAGACTCCTCACGTAACGCGAACGCAGGGCAAAGGCGTCTCACTTTTTCCGTCTGCCGAGCCGCCGACGGCTGCAGATATTCCGCCAACCAACGCCCCCAGCCCGGACGATAGGACCCCGCAGCTCCCAGCAACCCAAGCCAGAAAGCGCAAATAGGCAGCTCCTCTACATACAGCCCACGATTTCGTCAGTCCCTAGACGGCGATCCGCTTCTTGCGCCAAGGGCTAGCATGCCGAGATAGACGGATGTCGGCATGCGGGGAAACCCTTGCTGTTCGCCCCGCTCCCCCTATCTCGGATGCGAGGGGCCGCCAGGCCAGGGGAAAGACATTCATGATACGACGTACATAAGAGAGCCACACCGCCAAAGATGACCGCGCTCGTAGTAGCCAAGCGTCACGCACCACCGCCTGCGACGCCCGCGTCCTACACGCAGACATGAAGCTGTTCGCCATCGCAATCCTCTCGGGCACCCTCGCCTCCGCCGCGTTGGCGCTTGAGCTGCCTCCCGGCGTGCCGCGCAATGCTCTGGAGTTTCGCGAGAAGCACCCCGTGGCAAAGCGGTCCACGGACGGCCGCAAGACCGTCACTCCCCGCGCCTCCGCCCACGAGCTGGACGACGTGTCCGCCGAGTTCGAGCGGGCGGTGCGTCAGGCCAACCACGGCGGCACCGTGCACCTACCCAAGGGCCAGACGTTCGTCATTGGCAAGCCGCTGGACCTGACGTTCCTCGACGACTTCCACTTGCATCTTGAGGGCACTATCAAATTTACCAACGACACACCGTACTGGCAGGCCAATGCCTTCTACCATCCCTTTCAGCGATCGCTGATGTTCTGGAAGTGGGGAGGTGAGTCCGAGATAAGGCAGTCATCGCCCATTGTGAGGAGGCATCGAAACTGACCCATTGTGTGAACCCGCCTGTAGGCAAGGACATCAAGATCTATGGCGAAGGCACCATGGATGGGAACGGCCAGAGGTGGTGGAATGAGTTCGCTGGTCGCCAGTACGCCCTGTCCTTGCACACTTTCCAAGCATGTGGCTGCGAGGAAGTGACTAACCGAGGACAGGATTCTGGACCCAGACAACCCGTATCTGCGTCCCATTCTCTTCTACGCCGAAAACGCCACAAACCTGGAGATCACGGGCATCCAGATGAAGAACGGCCCTGTGTGGCATAACTTTGTCGTCACCTGTAAGCGGACCTTCCCTGACGACTGACCGGATCGAGCTGCTAAGATGTCGACGTCCAGCCAAGAACATCACCTACAAAGATGTTATTATTGAGGCCATCAGCAACAACGCGACTGGACCCCCCAGCAACACGGACTTCTTCAACTCCCTCAACGTGGAGGAGGTCAACGTCGAGCGTGTCTGGGTCAACATCGGCGACGACTGCTTCTCGCCAAAGTCGAACACGAGCGTGAGTAACACCCTCTACTCGTCACCTGCGAGCAATGGTATCTGCGCTGGAAGTTAACACATTTCCTCCGCGCCTCAGAAAATCCACGTCGACACCATGTACTGCAACGGCACCCACGGCCAGTCCCTAGGCTCCCTGGGCCAGTACGCCGGCGAGACCGTGTATGTCGAGGATGTGCTGATCGAGAACGTCTGGATGCTCAACGGCGACTTTGGCGGCCGCATCAAGGTGTGGGCCGGAGAGAACATCGGTCAGGGATGGGTGCGCAACATCACCTACCGCAATTTCTGGAGCGGCAGGATCGACTACGCAAGTGCCCACTAAACTCTTCACATTTACCATACAGAATTACAGATTTGCTAACAGCATACACACAACAGGCCGCGTTCCTCGACTCGTGCTACTTCAACATCCCCGCCGACAAGTGCAACGAGTTCCCGTCCAAGATGAACGTGACCGACGTCAGTTTTGAGAACTTCTCGGGCTACACGAGCGGCCGCTACGGCAACGCCGTGGCCCGCCTGACGTGCTCGACCAGCCAGTCGGCCGTGTGCAAGAACATCACCTTCAAGAACTTCAACGTCACCACCCCGTGCGGCGGCAAGCCCGTCGTTATTTGCGACGGCGTCAAGGGCCTCGGCCAGGACTGCGTGCCCTTTAACAGCGACGAGGCCCGTGCCGCCCTGGCTGCCAAGTGCAGCATACCGCGCGTCACCATAGCGCCGCCTTGGCCGGTTCGGCAGTGGTAGGAGGAGGGAGGCTGTATCGAGGGCGGTTTCACTAGAGATTAGATGTGAATAAGGACCGTTCTCGTGTTGTAAACACGGATGCACAAATATCTCCATCTTGTGGTGATTCCTTCTATCAAAATCTACACTGGCATTCCCTCGGGCATCATGTTCCGACCTCCACGCCTCCATCGCGCACACTCGTGCTACTTTTCCGGTCCACATTCCACCTATGTCTACCCAGGATAGCCTTTACAGCCTGCTCTCGCTGTTATATATCTGGTCAGACGTGAAGCGAGTCGACCCGCTCTAGAACACTCGTCAAATCGCGTCGCGGGCTGCAACGCCTCGGGGGATTAAGTAGCTTTCTGCGCCGCTGCGGCCAAACTTCGTGCAGGAGAAGAGCATTCCTGATATCCAGACACCTTTACATCCGCATCGAGGCAGGTAAGCAAGTGGAAGAGAGAGAGGGACGGTAGGCATCGGAGCCGTGGCCTGCGTGCTTCCTAGTCGCCAGAATGGTGTCTATGTTGGTGGCAGACACGGTAGCCCGCAGCAACGGGCGACCGTCTTGACGCCAGCGAAGTGAAAGTGTTTGAGCGACGCCAGTTCGCCAAAGCCATTAAACCGTGACCAGTCGTGGTGTTGGACCTGTGCGGTCGGCAGGTGTGTGTGTGGTAGAGCGACCTTTGGGCCGAGGATTACCATGCGAATCGCGACGGTTTTTCCGCACAAGACCAGCTTGATGTCCGTGCGTCCTTCCGAACTTGGGAATAGCTGCATAAATTGGGAGACGAGCTGGTCAGCTCTATGCAGCAAGAGCAAAGCGCCAGGTAGAGCCTCCATGAAGTGGAGTGGCTGACCAGTGTGGAACGGCATCCCATCTTGCAGGCTAGCGCGGAGCCGGCCGAAGGGGAGACATGGAAGCGTCTGGACATCTGATATCTCTCGCTCACAGAGACCTCTCCGACCCGCCCCGACGCTGGGGGCATTATGGATCGGGGAAGGAGCCATGGTCCTCAACAAGAAGAAGCCCGCGTGGTCTAGTGGTTCAGGACGTCGCTCTAACGCTAGCGGAGATCTTCTCTACGTTGCGGCGTAGAGTGGCTCTCCGCTAGGGTGGCGAAGGCACCGGTTCGAATCCGGGAGCGAGCATTCCTTTTTTTTCTTCGTCATGTTTTGGGGGCGCAGGAAGGACCGTCTGATCCCTTCTTCTTTTGCGACTGCAAACTCCCCTGGTATGGAACTAGAAATAGCAGGTGCTTGCTGGATTCTCCATGATTTTCTGTATCCGCTTGCCGTTTTGCTGCGTGATATAAAATAGCTTTGGCGGAAAGCATCCAGATGGGCTGTGAAGGTGTGACGTCTAGGCATCCACAAACCGGCTGCAAAATGTTGCGAGCCAGGGGTGCGCACAGTTTCCCACTAAGCATCAGTCATTCCACGCCTGGGTATTCTTTTTTAATACTCATCATACATCGATACTCAAACCATTTAACGACAAGCAAAATATGAAGCATCAGCCGGTGCAACTCTTCACCTAGCCGGAACACCGTTCCTCTGTCTCCAGATGCCGACATGGCATATGCTCCGTACGCTAAGGAGGAGCTTTCGAGTTGCCGAACAGGTATTGGCTGCACGCTGTGCTGAGCTGAGCCTGAGGCCCGACTGCTAGCTCGGTTGGGCAGCCACCATCAGTTCGGCTGGGCGGCGACCGAAAATTGTCCTAGCAAGACTCATTCAAGCTCCCAGAGCAGCCACTACGAGAGGCGATCAAACCAACGCACCGCCCCCCTAACCACATTTTAAAAAACATGACCTACTACGGGATCTCTCCTGACGAGATGGACGGGAGGCGGTCCCACTACGAGCAGCACCCTGACGACTTCGGGATATACCATGACGAACGCGGCGAACGACACGTGGAATGGATCGGGGAAGAGCGGCCGTTGGTCAAAGGTCGCGAGTTCGAGCGGAAGAACGCGCTTTTGAGGGACGACGAGTGGACATATGAGAATGATGGCACTTTCGTGCTCGATTTCCTGAGGAGCCAGTCTCGGCCGTCGTCTCAGTACACGTTTACTTCGCCGCCTTGCGACACTTGCGCAAAATTGTCTCGGCGCACCATCCTTCGGACCATGCCAGACAAGCTGTTGACCGCGTCAAAATGCTGTAAGCTCTGTGGGCTATTGGCTCAAGGTTTTATGGACTCTGGCGCGCCAGACGACGAAGAGGTCGAAGTCGCCTTGCGCATGGATTCCGATGGCGTGGTTTTCCTCATGCTGCGCGTTGAGTCGGGTCCGTGGATATCCCTTCCTCTTCTCAGATCCTCTGGCTTCAATACTGTGGGGCTTACCTGCCGATCAACCACAGGGACTGGAGAGCCTCCTCGAGACATCCCGATCGGGTTTCCGCCGCTGCGTGACGAAACCAGCCGTTTCGACCTCTTCCGTGCGTGGCTCAAAGACTGCGACGGATACTGCGCTCCCAAGGGTCGATTCCTTCCTACGAGGATACTTGATCTGAGTGACTCAAGTTTGATACGCCTTGTGGATGGACAGCGCGATTGGAGCCAAGAGGACTTAGGCGCCGCTGAGTTGCGGCCCGGATGGCTGCCGAACGGCGATACCCGTCGTCGGCCCATGACGGCGGGCAATTATGTTGCGCTATCGCACCGGTGGCGGTCATCGGATGAACACAACTTTTGCACCTACCAGTGCAACCTCGCAGCTCGACAGGCAGGCTTCCCCGTCAGTGACCTGCCAAAGAGATTTCAGGACGCAGTCACAATCACGCGGGAACTGGGCTTGCGATTCCTCTGGATCGACTCGATCTGCATCGTTCAGCCTCATCGCGACGCCACCGCCGACTGCGTCGACGGCTGCAGCCAAAGCGATGACTGGAGAAGCGAGTGTGGCAAGATGGGAGGCTATTTCGGCTCGGCCTACCTCACTCTGGCCGCCACCTCGGCAATCAATACTGCCTTGGACGAAAGGATTCTTGGGTCGGGCTTGCCGCCAGCAAGAGCACCCATACCTGGTTCGCTGGTATGGGTGTGGGATCCCGCACCGCTACAATCTGGCGCGTTCGACGACTTTGCTTGCGATGTAGAGGACAGTGAGCTGAATCAAAGGGGCTGGGTCTTGCAAGAGCGAGCCTTGTCTCGCCGAATGATCCACTTCACCTCGAAGCAGGCCTACTGGGAGTGTGGGTGTGGCATCCGCTGCGAGTCCTTTGTCAGGCTGAGAAAGTACATAAGCTCGCTCCTTGTCGTTTAATTATATCCACCAGCTGACTTTTAGTACCTCTAGCCGAACAGCAGCGTTTCTGAGCGACTCTCACTTCCCGGCAGTTGCTGCAAGGCAATTTGACCAGAATCGGCTTTATCTCCTCCGCTGGCTCTTTGAGAAATATTCACGATGTGGTCTCACAACGCCCACCGATAGGTCTGTCGCGATCCACGGGCTCGAGGAGCGGCTCGGAGAGGTTCTCCGACCGCAGTGGAGATACGGCGTTTTTCAGCTCTACTTTCATCGATGCCTCATCTGGCACCCCGCTGGCGGCCAGAGGATCAAGCGGGTAGACCCAAAGGTCCCATCGTGGTCGTGGATGGCATATACTGGGGAGATCACCTTTATGAACATTCTTTTCGAGAAGGTGAGCTGGAACTTGGACATCCAAGGCCTCTTTGAATCGCCCGACAACGACTCCCCGGGCTTTGCGCTTCGAGCTCAGGGAAGAGAGCTACAGTCCCATGGAACTGACGAGGAATGGGGGCAACTGATGGTGGGAGACGAGGAGAGACACCCGATGGCGGGAGAAGACGAGAGACAACAGATGGTGGAAGAAGACGACTATCAACTGATGATAAGAATAATGAGGAGGCAGTTCATGGTGGGAGAAGCAGAGGCGCAACTGGAGGTAAGAGAAGAAGTGAGACATAACCCTAGAAGATGGCTGCAATTTGATCAGGGCAACGTCACGGACAGGCCGGACATTGAACGGCTAAGGTATGTTGTGCTGGGAAAGAGCAAGCGCTGGGAGCGGGAAAGTCGCCGTGAACTTTCTTACTACGTGTTGGTTGTCAAGCCCTCGGAGGGTGGGTCTGATCAGGAGTACGAACGAGTTGGGATAGGATCTCTTTGGAAGAAGGACTTGTCGAGCCATTTTGAGGTGGTCAATGTCATTTAGCTCTGCCTTTTCATAGCTAGGAGTTATTTCCAAGAGTTGTTTTGTCATATTAGAGATCTCTAGACGTCTGGCACTGGTGTTGTGGATCGCCCTGCCGCGGGATCAGACCCAAGGACGTCACCCACGCTGATGACACGCGCAAGCTTGAGGTTATCCAGAGCTGACTGTTCGAGAAGGTGTTCAGGTCCTCGTTTACCACCTGGGCGGCCATGACAAAACCTGCGTGGCAAAGATCTACGACCCGCCGTACTGTAAGTTCCAATGGTCACCTATCGCGTCGACAACGGATACATGCGCGGTCGCCGGCAGTAACCACGAGAAAGAAGTAGCCGCCTATGAGGAGCTGAAGGATACAAGGCTGCTAAGGCGCCTGGTGCCGGCCTACCATGGGCTATGAAGTGGCAGTTGGAGGCTGACCTTGCCTGCCACAATTACGGGGTCGACCAGGGAGACCTCAGCCAGCACAACATTTTAATCCGGGCTAGCCGGGACCCCAGAGTGAGGCCGTGGACCGAGTTGCGATTCTTGATCTCAACGTCTCGTCCGTGAATCGCTTATGCCATGATTATGACCACCATTGTCTCCTGGGCGTGGAAACGTGGAAAGTCCGGCACGCCGCCACCCTCTGATCACCCGACTTCATGCCTGATTCCCTACCCTAATTATCACCCGGCCCGATGCCTTTGGGACCGTTCGTTGGAGTGTTTGTCAATTGGAACCCAAGGAGTTGAGCGGACAAACCGCAGACGCGGTTCAACAACTGCGTGCTCACCCAGTGGCAAGACGGTGCGGCATAGGAAAACATCTAGGACCGCGGCTCCCCAACGACAAAAAACAAGCCCGCAATTTTTGTGCCCCAGTCGGATGCATCACCACAACACACAACTAGAAAAAGAAAAGGTTCGAACACACCCTTTGTACACGTAGAAAAATGAGTATAGTATCACTTTATAGCTAGCGGTACAATCCGGTCAAATTTTGTATGTTTTCTGACATTGTGTTGCTGGGAATTTATCCAGTGAAGGGTGTTGGGGTGGCGTTATTTTTTTTTTTTGCCGGCTCGGTCGTTTTTGTCGTGCGAGCGCGGCTAGAACACCCACCTCATCTCCTACTTGACCCCTCGCTCCATCAAAGCATTTGGTATCTCGCCCGGAAGTTGGAAAAACAGGAAAAGACGACTGTGACGTAATTTGTGCACAGGGCCCTTCAAATCGCGATCGGCTTACCTTGGCTTATTCACATGTTTTTCCTGCTGCGTGCGACCCACTGATGTCTCGATGACGCACCTCCATCAGGAAATCGCATCGCTTGGCATCACGACAACGACGGCTGTTGAACCAAAGGCGTGCAACGGCAGACAAAAGCACCTCCTTGAGTGGCCAGACATGCAGAGAAGAGGGCGTTTCTCGGTTTGAACCAAACGCCCTCCGGATAACCGTTGAAGAAAACAGTCGGCGACGCAGAAACCTCGCGATCATGTCGCGCCCGCAAGACGTCGTGATGGCGCCCCTCGAAGCAGGCCTGGGTGTCTACCAATGGCTCGCCAACAAGATCCTGGCCCCGCGCCCGCCGCCGCAAGACGCGCGCCAGCGGGCGGACCGGCCGACCATCGCCATAATCGGGGCGG